GTTACCTCTAAACACCATGGTTAAACTGTATTAGATTCTGAAAACGAAACTATTTTTGAGCCAGTTTTCCTAACTTTCATATGGTGTTATTTGGTAGTAATTTTGTGTGTGTGGGTGGTGGGGGTAATGATCCATTCATCATCATTATGTGTTCTGCTAACTGGCGTAGGCGCTCATGTGTCTCCACAGATCACAATCCCTGTTTGCCTGGAACTGCTGTCTTGATGATATCCCTCCAAGCCATCATTTCAGCCAATCCAGCATCATCTCTCTAAAATAATTGTTGTATACCATTTAAGTTTACAAGCCGCCCTGATTCTCTACGTTGACACTTGCAATATAGTCCAGTATTCATACCTGTGTGTGTCACAGGTAAGGTAGACTCTCTCAGAATGTTTTATTTCTACTCCTTTGTACCACTCAAGGTAGGATTATAATTGTCAGGTCATTTTGACAACTGACTGAAGTTGCAACTCACAGTAAGATTCAGCTCCTCATTATATAGGATATTTTTATCTGAAATGTGTAGGTGAAAACACAATTATTGGCAATAATGGTATTTCATAAGCATTGTGAAGCCAGCGATGCACTCTTATTTAATTCCACTGATTTAATGCCGAAATTAGATATTTCTTCAAAAGGGAACATTGGACCTCAGCCAGTTGCTGTATACGGTAGCATTATTTTCCTTCTTACTTTCTACTTCTTTCTATGAATGCTAATCAGTGCTTTTCTTTTTATTATTTTAACTCTCACAAGTCTACATGGTAAATGTCTGATGCACAAAATTAAAAATCAAGGTTATGGATTAATCTACCTATGATCTTCTTATCACAGACATCAGAAGGAGACAGTCATCATTTTTCGGCCATGTTATGAGAAGAGGGAAAATAGAACATGTTGTGACCACTGGATATGTGGAAGGAGAGATAGAGGAAGACAACGAGAGAAGATGCTTGACAGTCTTGTCGCATGGCATGGAGGTGTGTCAGCACACGAACTGATACATGCTGCAGGAGATCGCAGATTATGGAGAGGCATGATCGCCCACCCCAGTCGGCAAGGCACCTGATGATGATGATATTGGTGCTGGATAATTTTTGAATTATGCTTTCCTTTTTTTTAAATCTATTAATTAATACTCTTCAGCATTTACACATATGTGTTTTTGAAATTTAGTTGTCTATACTTTACAGGCTTTGCAAAATCTGCTGCAGCTTTTTTTAGGGCTTTTCTTAGCAAATTTACGTTCATTAGTTTAGCATTGCCTTTTGAATGGTTGACTCTCGGTACCACTGTTAAAAAAAAAAAACGCCAGATGGTCTGCTGGCTAATCGTCTGCAGCTAGCATCGAACCCGGCACCCTAGTGTTACAAAGCGGCGTTTACAACACCTAAGCCACAGACGCTGACACACATATGTATACATGTGTATATTAAAGTTACAGTAATGCCCACCCATAAAGCAATACTTTGCATTGTGTAGACATTCTTCATACTCGTCTGCATTTTTCAAGCAAAGAACATCTAGTTACTGACCTTCAGTTCAGGGGTCATTGTGTCTGACATCAGCATCACAGTGTGCAAGTTTCACTTCCTCTCAGCAGAATTTCTGGTGCATTATTTATTACCCCAAACAGAGGGAATCCATGGGAACTCCACAGCTGACTGGACAGTCGGCTATTTCAAGGGCTGCAGGTGTGCTGCTAACTAAACAGGCTTCAGTGGATCAGGAGGTGAGGAAAAGACGCTGGCGTTGGATAGGGCACACACTGAGAAAACAGGAGAACAGCATAACTAGAATGTCTTTGCATTGGAACCCACAGGGGCATAGGAATAAAGGAAGGCCAAAAAAACACATGGAGAAGAGAGCTGGAGAATGAGGTTAGAAAGATTGGGAGGACATAGGGAGAGCTCCAGGTAATGGCGAAGGATAGAAGGACTTGGCGTGAGTTGGTTGAGGGCCTATGCTCCATTGGGGGATAGAAAGGCAGAAGAAGAGGTGTGCTGCTGCTGTTGTTGTTTGCTCTTCTAGTGTTTTTGTGTGTGGCATATTTCTGTCTGTTGGTACGCAATCAGCTGCTTGCTGCAACAAGATGCAGCAAAGATGAAGACTGCTGACGCACAGTAAACACACATCATAAGAATCGGCAAGCGCGCTCTTTTGCAATGGGCTCTAGAAATGGGAAAAACCCCAACCTTAACACCCTGGAAATTATTTGAATGTCTCCCATGACGTCGTCATGGGGTAAGTAAAAAAAATATAGTACCCAATCTCTCCAAGGGGATAGGCTGTAGCTACTCATGGCTACATATTTTTCCGAACAATTTTGCAGGTTATTTGACCTTCTGAGTTTTCCTTTTTGATTTCCAACTACAGCATAATATTTTAAGTTCACTTGTCGGAACATTTATTGTTTTATCATTGTCTACGAATGTTAAGTATCCACTTGAACTAAGCAAGAGGTTGAAATAAAGCGAGATAACATCAGAAACTAATGGTGCTAGTAAATATTTCCATTCTTGTGCAGGTCATATGTCTGTATTCTAACCTCCGAGGTCAAGGATATTATGACCAGCTCCTGGACACAGGTCTTGTCATCTGAGCTGAGCAAACAAAAATGATCTTACCTCTTTGGTAAGATCACTTACCTCTTTGGTAAGGTCACTTTTTCGCACTCGAATTCCTCTGTAATTGCTCCCTCTTTGGTAAGATAGATCACTTTTGTTGGACTCAGTTTCTCTATAAGTGCCCCTGTTTGGTAAGCTCACTTTAGTTTGCTTGTGAAATCCTCCTTAAGTTCTACCTCTTTGGTAAGATAATTTTTGTTGCACTCTGATTTCTCTCCAAGTACTTCCTCTTTGGTAAGAAAACTTTAGTTTGCTAGTAATTCCTCCACAGGTGCTTCCTCTTTGTGAGATCACTTTTGTTGCACACAAATTCTTTCACAGAGATTCCAGATGGTGAGTGGGAAAGGCAAGTCAAGATATATCAAGGCATGGCGTCTTCTTCTTCATTCTTCTTTATAGTGATTTAATTGCATTGTTACAGCATAGCTGTGAAATGTGTGCTTTTCTGCCGACACATTCAGCTTCATTGGGTATTTGTTCACAGGGTTTCCTTTCCCCATAGGCATAAAATGATAATAAATTAAACATGGAAATGTGTGACGGCAAGCAAAAGAGGAGGCGAATAATGAGGAAGACAAAGGGATAAATACTTAGTTTGGATCAGTGGTATAAATGGAACAAAAACATGTTTTAAAACCAGTGATCGTGTCAGATTGTGAACCATTATCGTATGAGTTTATTAGCATGGCACACGATGGGAATGATGATAACGGATGTAAAGCAGTGGTTCATTTCTAACACTAGTTTAGGGGACATCTGTTGCCTGGCCCATAATTTTGATGGAGCCTAATGCTCATCTTGCATTATGTTTATGGTGGGCTTTCCATGCCTGCAAGTGTGGATGACATCAAGCATTTGTCATGTTTCTTTCCTATCAGGATGCTAGCGCTCCCATGCTGGTGTGTCAGGGGAGACTAATCGCTGTTAATTCTGCAGGCCGAATATTAACTGGGGAAATGGAATATTAGTTTTGAGCAACATTTTGGTTATTTTTGTTGAAGTGTTGCGTGCTGTAAAGTAGTGATTTCCAGTTAGTTAAACCCTGGGAATCCCTCTTATTTTTGGTCTGCCGTGGACTCCATACTTTTGTAATATCAAAAGTCATACTGAAGAACTTGGGAGCCAACGGGGTGTAGCAGTTAGATGCTTGCCTGGGGATTGAAAAGTCCTAGGTTCGGTCCTGGAGATTACTTTTTTTCTTCAAAAGTGACCTTTGTTTCCAGTTTGATTTCAAAAGTGACCTTTGTTTCCAGTTCGATTTCAAAGTGACCTTTGTTTCCAGTTCGACCCAGCATTGAATAAGTACCAGGTAAAGTCATGGGAAGTAAAGGTGACTGGCATTAAGCTGACCACATCACCCATCAAGTGCTAGTTGGTCTAAAAAATATAAGTCTAGCCCTATATGCCCAATATGCCTGAAGGCTTTGAAATGGGTCCTTTACTTTAACAACTTATGAAAATTTATAAATATTGAAGGTAGTATGATTATGTAGGAGTTTCTACCTGTTGATGTCTCTATCATTGACTGAATTATATTACCAGGGTATTTTTATTTCTCTTTGTTGAGTCTACCAACTGCATGACTATAGGAATTCCCAATATGCATTTTTGGTTTACTTTTTGTGTGCCTGCTGTTTCACTCCTACTTCTTATTCACTTTCTCTTTTACACTTCGGTTGTTGAGGGAGATATAAGGCTCTGCTTCTTGCTTTTCTGGCTGCCTCGACCATAGACACTTTGTGCTGTTGTAGAGTTTCTTTGATATTATCTTTCCATGTTGTTTTTGGTCTACCTCATGTTCTACGTCCCTCTCCCAATTTTCTTGTAAGCCTTATATGGTACAGCGTCACAGGGCATACTTTCTAAAAGTGCAGACCATTTGGTTTTCTGTCTTTTTGTGGCATTTAGAAGTGACTGTGTGCTGACTTGTTCTCTTATGACAACATTCCTGATTCTCTCTCTTCTGGTCACTTGCTTGTCTGCATGTTGATGTAGTTGAATTGCATAACCAACCATTGGCCAAGCATTTTTTACTCTTCCGATATTTTAAGTTAAACATTTCAACTGTTTGTTTTCTTCTGAACAGGGGGACTGAGAATTGACCATCACCGATAGGAATGAAATCCAACAGTTAACACTGTTTTCTACTCAGGAAGTGTAGGACTATAAATTATAAATCCCCAATAAGATTTTAACGAGTGGTAAATCTGTGATCAAATTATACTTTATTTTCACTAAATGATACTTAACTTACAGAATTAATAAATAATATTGTTATCAGTAACCACAGTGTGCTATTCTGTCTGTGACAGTATTTGTGAAAATATATTTCAATATAAATAGTAATATATAAATAATACCACTGACAATATGGAATCCTTGTTGCGGAGTGAGGAAATGACATTGTGTCAGATGTTCCTACAGTCTGAAGCAGCATATGCTTGTGTCTCGGAGCTTGGGGAGTTGGGCCTGGTACAGTTTAGAGATGTGAGTATCTTGGACTGTGTGTAGCCTAATGTTTGTTGTGGGTGTTTATGTTGTTATAAGTTAGAGCTGCTAAAGCGGTGGCCATATGTTCAAATCATACTTGACGAGGGGATTTTTAAACAATTGAACTTGGCTTCTAGGTAAATCAAGCTTAAAATGAACTTTGGATATTTTCTGCAGTATATGCCAGTGTGTTGGGAAATTATCGCACAGGTAGATTGGCTGATTCTCTGCCACTTTGTGGTAAATTGATGCATGACAAGTGGGATGTTGTAAGGGCCCCTTAGGAGCAAATAAAAAGTGGAGGCACAAACAGACGAACATGTTTTTGAGAGAATGGTGCAGTGAGGATTAGTTGGAGAATCTGGCCGATGTTCAGCACTCTGGGAAGAGGCTAGATGGACATACAGTCAGACTGTGCTTGGTACCATTGGAATTGGAACTCTGTGCCTGCTGCTGAAGATGGTGGCAGAGCAGACAGTGCCTATGGGAATGTCCCAAATGCTATGATATCAGTTCTTAACTCATAGCTCAGCTTGAAATGAGTAACAGGAAATGCTGTTGGAAGTAAAGGCATAGTATTAATGGCCTCAGCATTTTTTCTGTAAAACACTGCTACCACATAGCCCTTTGGTTCTGCGTTGAAAATGTTTCTGTGCTTTGCTTTATTTCTTTTTTTTTTACCTCTTCATCTTCTTAGCATTGGGCATAAACTAGTGTAAACTGTTGGAAAGTTCAGGCTGTTTGTCCACTTCTGGACTTTGGTCTTGTTTCTAGAACTTGAGTTCTGTATGCCCGTATGTTTTCCCAGTCTAGCTTGTTTGTTTGCAGACTGTTGGTTCCTCACCTCTGAGACAGATGAACTGTTGAGGAAACACAGAGGAAACCCTACAAAATGAGGCCCCAGAACCCACACTGGTAGTTAAGCTAGTAGCAGTTAAGAATGGTAAAATCCAAGATGCATTTTTTGTTACAGCAGTGTCAGTGTATAGTCCTGAAAAAAAAAAAAAAAAAAAAAAAAAAAAAAAAACACCACACACACACACACACACACACAGATATATATATATATATATATATATATATATATATATATATATATATATATATATAGCTTGTCTGCACAAAATGGTATATATGTGACCATATACAGGAAATGATCCATAAACATATGTGCATGCATGCAGACAAGAGGGTGCATTTGCTAAACTTTGTTCTGTTTCTAATTCATGCTTTGCCTGTTTTTATTTGTCTGCACAAATGGTCATATGGTGGCTATGAAAGTGAACATTATATACAACAGCGAGAAGGCGACAAATCACATGAGAAAAAGTGGAAAATATCCATGCTGGTAGAAACCAGACAAAACATTATGGTGTGCATGCATGCAGACAAGAGAACACCAAGGTGCATGCTTGCTAAACTTTGTTCTGTTTCTAATTCATGCTTTGCCTGTTTTTATTTTAGAGACTCTGTCCCCTAATATGTGATTGCCTGGAAATGGTAGATGCACTGTTTCTGTGTATGTGACTATATTGTAGCAACCTTGTTTTGTTTAATCCTACAGCTGAATCCTGATGTTAATGCCTTCCAGCGCAAATTTGTCAATGAAATTCGACGCTGTGAAGAAATGGAACGAAAATTACGTAAGTTCATACATAAAACTGGCCATAAGCCTTTATTTTGTCATTGGAGTAAATTTAGATAATTCGGGCACAAACAATACATTGCACAATTTATTACCAGGCATATTTTTCGGTATCTCGTCAGGTGCATCACTACAAAGTTACATCGACATAAAGTGAAGCACAAAAACTGAATAATTCTGCTGAAATAGTCTTTTTCCTATACTTTGTTCATCTAATCGCCAAATTTTTATCATGTGACCTAGCAGGGTAACTTTAAATTTATAGTGAACTCTTTCTGTTTACATAATTGGGGATTGTTCGTTTTTATTGTTAAAGCTTTGGCTAGTCTCAGCATTTACCTGTTTATTGTATGGTAAATAACATATAAATCACTGTCCTTGCCAATTAAATGTTGAATTGAGCAAAAAATTTCATATAGAAGAGTTGGGTTGTTTCCTTTTGGTTACCATTGACACCCTTACCAAATCACTCAACTGTGCATGGAGCCAGTTGAGTATATGTTCTGTCAATGTATTTTCAGTTTGTCTCTCCATTCAACCATTGTAAGGCAAAAGGCACTTACGCGTAAATTCTTCTTCGCATTTACAGGCTGTAATTTCTGTCCATCTCTGGACTTTAGTCTTGTTCCAGAACCTGAGTTTTGCATGCACATTGGTTTTACAGATTTGACTTATTTATATGCAGATTGTTGGTGTTTTGTCCATCAGGCAGATGCAATTTGACTTCAAAAGGAAGCCCCCGATTACTCGACTCTGACGAAATGCTAGTTAGGGAGCAATGGGTCTATTCTTGTTGATTTTCCCAACAGTGGGGCCCTGGAACCCACACATGCAAATACACATGGGTTTGCTGTACTGGGACACTAGTTCTTTGACTTGATTTATTGTTTGTGCCCCTTTGTTTATATCAGTTCAGGAAAACATTTGTTTAAGTATCTGAAATTAAAGAAATGTCATAGCAAAGTGAACAATTTTATACAGCTTTTTTCTCAAAAGAACATAATATTTTTTTTTTTAAACCAGTTTTGTCACATGCCATTATATTATGGTGCCACTAGTTACCATAAAGTTAAAACCGCCACTAGCGAGATATTTGTGCCTGATGGAGTGTGTTAAAGTTTTGTGTTGTGGGGAGTGATGACAGAAAATCTCTCACACATCGATGGCTGGTATCATAAAGCACTGTTTCCCCCCCCCCCCCCCCCCCCCCCTTCTCTATTTCTGTAGGTGTTTTGTCTAGTAATATTACCCTTTCACCCGTTACAAATTTTAAACAAAATGACCTTTACACACACACAAATACCTTGTGATAAGTCTGTGAAACTCTACCGTGATAAAGAGAGTAAGAAGCAGAAGAAATGTATAGTCTTGGTCGCCTTTGATATTAATACAAGGGGTTGAAACTTATGGTCACTGAGCAGTCAGGTCATCCTGCTAACTGTTGCATCATCATGGCCGCCAGTCACTAAAAAGATGAATTTTTTAAATATTTAGTCATTATTTTGCACAAAGGGGATTTTTTTTTTTTTTTCACTTGAAAAAAAATAATCACTAAACGAGAAATGACTACTTTTCTTCCTGTTGATCAAGAAAACTGGTTTTGTTGACACAGCCACACAGAGCAAAGTGATCCTATAAGGTTATTATGGCATCATAAGGTTATTATGGCGTCACAGTGACAAAGAAAAAAAAAAATTTTCCCACCCCAAATAACAAATCAATTTTGTTTTGGCATAAATATAATCAAACCCACAATGCATTTGCAACCAATGCCAAAGCTATTATACAGACATATTGGCCACTGCACAAAGACTTCATGTCATCAAAAATGCCTAAAAACCAGAAAAATGGCTTAGCCGAGCAAAGGCTAAGCGTTGCGGTATGGCAACAAATAACGATAACAAACCCTTTTTAACTGTAATGTTTATTCCTTACAGGGTTCTTGGAGAAGGAGATCAACAAAGATGGAATTCCTATGTTGAACACTGGAGACAACCCAGATGCTCCAGTCCCCAGAGAGATGATAGATTTAGAGGTATGATGATTGTCAGGTGTGCTAACAGCAGAGAGCACCTACATTGTTTTCTTTGGTAACTCCTAAGGGGTCTCTGTGGTGAAGTTGTCAAGCTGCTTGCCTCGCACTCTGAAGGACGTGTGTTCATTTTGGGGCTTTTTCGTTCGGTTCACGAGAGCAGTTTTTACGGAGACTCCTGGAATTGTCACCAGAGCTATGGTGTTTGTGGTTTATGCAACACTCTTGGTAGGTGGCTAGCTGTTTTGTGGAGAGAGACAGCTATATGGAATTAACCTTAGATAACTCCATAATTCTATACCTCAGTTTGATCTTTTTCATAAACAGTGGCTTGGTCTTATACCATGTCTACACAAATCTTTTTCTGTGCCTCATCTTCCTGTGTGGGTTCGGGGGCCCCGTTGTGGGAAATAAAAAGATCCACTGTCCCCCGATCTAGGATGTAGTAAGAGTCAACTATATAAGGGTTTATTTTGAATTTGGAGTGCATCTACCTGAGAAGCAAGGGATCAACAGTCTGCATTCCCTGTGTGGATTCCGGGGCCCTATTATAGGGAAAACATGAATAGACCCACTGCCTACCCAAAAGCATGTTGTAAGAGTCGACTAATTGGGAGCTTCCTTCGAAGTCGGAGTGCATCTGCCTGAGAGGCAAGGAACCAGCAGTCTGCACACAAATGAGTCAGATCTGTGAAACGGATGCACACGCAACACTCAGGTTTTGGAACAGGACTGCAGTCTAGAAGTGGATGAACAACCAGAACTTTCCGCCAGAGTTTACAGCTGGTGACCGTGAAGAAGAAGAAGAAGAACAGTCTGCATACACATAAGCCAGATCTGTAAAACATGTGTGCATGCAGCAAACAGGTTCTTGGACAAGACTAAAATTAAGAAGTGGATGAACAACCAGAACTACTCCCAGGTGATTATAGGCTGGTTATTTCATATATTGGCTGAGGCTGTCACAGTTGTATATTATATTTACTCTATCGAAGGCTCTTTATTTGACCACTGAATTCAAATTCTGAGGCCTTGAAACGAAATTTTCTAGAGCTCACAGAGCTGAAACACATTTTGAGGAAGACACAGACTTTCTTTGATGAGGTAAAATTTGGAATGAATGAGTGTGACATTTTGAAATGAGTTCAACAGGCAACTGGGCAATTTTTTAAATTTACTTTAATTAAATTTTTTAAGTTAATTATAAGTACAAAGTCACTGATAAAGAATTTTAGGAGTGTCTATACAGTGTGTTTGGCTGGGGAGGGTAGAAGAACCATTCACAATATCCTTATGACTAAAACACTGCTTTTGTAAAGACATTTTAAATTGTATTTTCCTAGTGCTTTTTTCTTCTAAGTAATTTCCTACTATCCTGTATCAAGTAATACTTGATTTTTAAAAAAAATTTATCAATTAAAGAATTGGGTTTTTGTGTAAGAAATGTGGCCCAGAAAAAAATAATTTGTGGATGTACGAACACAAAAATTATAGGATCACACTGTTATTCTTATAGTTCTTCATGTTGTGATCAATGACTGGGTCAGTTGTGTAGTCTTGTCTATCTACCTGTCTGTTTGTTGTTTTAAATTATCTCTGTGTTTCCAACCATCTGCCTGTCAGTCTTCTATGTCTGTTTTTTTTTTTCTTTTTCTATACGTTTACTGTTCTATCCTAGGAGGAATGTAGCTATTTATTTTGGAGTTTGTAGGGTCAAAATGCACAGGTGTCTTGTAATTAGGTTATTATTCTGCTACATTTTCTATGAAATCTTCACCTGCATTTGTATAAGATAAAGTAAGATCATATTGGACTTGTACACACCAAATGTATCAAATCAGATGAGGAGTAGAACTAGTCAGCTGAACATTATCACAATCAGGCTTTAAAGCCTTCATCAGCATTGAACAAAGCAACAAGAAATCACTTGTTTATACTAAAATCAACTTCATACTGTCTGTCCCTGTACTACTTACAATTCTTTTCCCAAAATCAACTTCATACTGTCTATTCCTATACTAAAGTCCCTTTCCCAAAATCAACTTCATACTACACATTCCTATACTACTCAAGTCCCTTTCCCAAAATCAACTTCATACTACACATTCCTATACTACTTAAGTCCCTTTCCCAAAATCAACTTCATACTGTCTATCCATATACTACTTACAGTCCCTTTTCTAAAATCAACTTCATACTGCTTATCCCTGTACTACTTATAGCAAACTGACAAAATCAACTCCTATGTTTGAATATGGCGGCCGCAGTAGACTAATGGCTTGAAGCTCACATGGCAGCCTGAAAGTGTTCAGTTTAAATCTGTGTCAGGCAGATTTATTTCAAAATAACCGAGGTTGTCAGGTGAACATAGCCTGAAATGGTTACCAGGCAATGTCCTGGGAAGTAACAGTGTTTGCCATAATTTTGCCCACATCACCAAGTGAGTGCTGATTGGTCCATTCAAATATGAGTCTAGCGTCACATACCTGTTGCACCGCTGGCATAAAATGGCTCATATACTCTACATATGAATAGGATATGCCTGCCACTAGGAGATAATTCTGCAGCATTGCATAGCACAAACTAAAGTGGAGATATACAACATATATTTTAGAATGCCTTAAGTTCTCAGATCCCAGGAAATAACTGTTTGCAGAAACCCAAACAATCAACTTCACACAATGTATCCCTGGACTACCTACAGCAAATCAACTCCTCCATTGGGATTTGACTGCCAGGAGTAGACAGCTCATTAGCATTGCATGGCACAAACATATGTGAAGCTGTCACCAGCTGGGATTACGTTCTAGTTAGATGTGTCATTGGCTCAGCTTAATTAATCAATACACTGTAGTGTGTATGTTTATGTCATGTCAAGGTCTTCTTATAGTTCCCAAAAAAAAAATAGTAAAGATCCCTTTTCAAACCTTTAGGCGCATATGGGAAGAACGCCCATATTTTTACAGACCATTAGCACTAGGTGGTTAATGAGGTCAGCATTATGTCGGCCGTCTTTACTTCCCCAGGACAGCCATCCTGGTACCCATTTAAGGCTGGGTTGACCTGTGACGCCGCATACCATGATAAAAATCCAAGCCGCCAGCAGTGGATTTCGATCGCGTAACATTGGAAATAAAAGTTGGACTCGCAACACCTAAGCCACGGACGCCGCAAAGTCTTCTTATGCTTGTCCTTAATTGTTGAGTCATTGGGAGTATTCCCCATCAGCAGAGGTGTAAGACCCCTTCTTCCTTACGCTAGCCTAAGGGCAAAGTCGAGTATCCATTCAAATAAGCTCAAAAATGGGAAAGGGTCCGGGAGTAAACCATGAGGACATATCTGGAGAGTGAGTCCCTAAGGCAGTTCCGTGTTATCAAGAACATATGTCTAGCAACTCCTGCGGCAGAGCTGATGCCAAGCTGCATTGGCTACTGTCTTTCCTTTTGTCAAAATCCATGATGTGGTTGGGGTATCTGCTACTGGGCAGCAGTTGGTTTTCTTCAGACTGTTGCGCAAGCCTGTGCCCTAGAGAGGCCACTTTAGCACTGCATAACAGTGGTGCCACAACACAGAAAGAAGCAGTTACTGGTTATAAGCCTTAATGCTCAGTTGGTTGAGAGCAAGGTGTGAGGAGCTGCTTCCAGTGGTGGAGAAATTGTCCCTCACGATACAGCTACTGTTCGCCTAAGCTGGTCAACCCCCAGTCAATACGATACTGTCTTGCCATGGGTTGTCTTCTTCTTCTGAAGGTGGGTGGAGTTTGTGGACAAAATTCTGACACTGCAAATTGTTCACCTGGCAACACAGAAGGAAAATACTAACTCTAAGGCTGGGATCATGGATTGTAAGAACCTTCTCAGACGACCCAAAGAGATTGATGATATCTGTAAGACAGCAGTTAAAAACAAAGAACTGCTCAGGAATTGTCAAGGAGAGGGACTTCACTTTCAAGCCATGCGATAAGACTAGATAACATGGAGTGGGCTTTGCCATCAGAGACAAACTGCCATCATACTGCCAAGTTTCCTCAGTCAATTTCTTTCCCATTGAAGTGCCTGTTTAGTGATATCTCTGTTTTTTCTCAGGATGTGCCCAGTATCTCACCATTTTGTGTGTGTCTTAGTTGTCCTATAATTGTTCTTCAGACAGATAAGATACGTGGAGAACAACAATTTCCAGAAAACTGCAATTATTATTCAGCTGGTGGCTGCAAGGAAATTGACTAGATAGTAGGACATAATCTCTAATGTTGAGCTCAAGGAGAAAATTAAATAAATTCTAGCAATCAAAAGCTGCACTGGACACAGCTTGGAGAGAAAAAACATGTTTTACTATTATCACTATATTGTTCTTTCTCTGGAACCAACATGGCAACAACATAGAAGATATAAAAATTAATGGAGAAGAGAGTTAGCAAATGAGATTAATAATATGTGGAAGACATGGGGCTGCAGATAGGGCATGCTGCAGATTGATTTAGGGCTCATGCCTCAGTGAAGGACAAGGGGCCAAAGAAAAAGACTTGGCTCCAGTGGGGATCTGACCTCATAAAATTGGCAGGGGGAAATCCTTGCATAGTTAACAATGACTATCATGATACTGACCACATCGTCCATCAAGTACCAATTAGAATAAAGATATGGACCCAATACCAAGCTTAGAATATTTAATTCTCATAAAATCGGTTACTGCTGTGTGGGTCTTAAACATGGAGAATGACTAAAGCAGTGACTCATAAACTAATAAACTACAGGAATTTATGAACTGATGCTAAAGAAGAAAAACAATCTCTCTCTCTCTCTCTCTCTCTCTCTCTCTCTCTCTCTCTCTCTCTCTCTCTGTCTCTGCTTCTGCCTATCTTTTTCTCTCTTTTTCTTTCTATGTGTTTCTTTCTGCCTCTTTCACATGATGCTAAAGAACAAAAATAATGTCTCTCTCTCTCTCTCTCTCTCTCTCTCTCTCTCTCTCTCTCTCTCTCTCTCTCTCTCTCTCTCTCTCTCTCTCTCTCTCTCTCTTTCTGTTTTTGTGTTTCTGTCCCTCTTCCACATGGTGCTAAAGAAGAAATAGAATTTCTTTATTTCTTTGTCTCTCTCTCTCTCTCTCCATCCGTCTCTCTCTCTCTGTTTGTGTGTGTCTCTCTCTCTCTCTCTCTCTCTCTCTCTCTCTCTCTCTCTCTTCCACATTTTAAAACTCACCATACTATGTAACTGCTATAATCATGGGTTATATTTGTATGTGCATGAAGCAAACTTTTGTTTTGTATGGGGGTTTGCCTGTAGTGGGTGTTGGACATAAACATCTGGTTTTCCAACATAAGATAGGGGCACACTGGCGCACACAGTTAGGTGTGATGATGTATGCAGTGCAGACCTAATAAGGGGAACTTACTGGGGACCCAAGAAATGGTTCTTTTTATCAGAAATGCCTCTTATCCATATTAGAATTTAAGCAAGAAAAATTGCAGGGGATAAACCAAATTGCTCTTCACAATAGAAATTCACCCATGTAAGATCACCTTAAGCGGTCTGAACTGTAATTGTAACTTAACAATAGTAATAAAAATGGTAGCAGTAATACTGACAGTGGAAAATCTTGAGAGGAAGAGAGGCAGAGGGAGACCACTAAAGAAAATGTTGTAAACTTCAGCATCATGGCTTTGGAGAACATCTGCATCAGAAATGATTTAACTTCTGATGATCAGAAGCCTTTTGCTTATCCGTGAATAGGGTTGTTACATATTATTGCTATGATGATTATTTGTTCCTATCTTTTCTCTGTTAACACCAAATATTGGGCGGTATATACCACCATATACTTAACATCCCACTCAGACCAGTGGCTTTGAGCAGAGCAGCACATTGGGAAAGTAAACTAGCTTAATCCTAGAATGAGAAAATGCAGCCTAAAAAACCTAATGTTATGTCAGTGACATAAATCAGGCCCCATGGTCTTTGTTGGCACTGGGTCAAGGAGAGAAGCTCTGACAGGTGATCTCATGGGTGATCACTGTTCTTCTGATATAGTAGCTTCTGCAGCATGCTTTGTTCCATTTGTTCCAAACACATTGATGTTAACTTTCCTTTGGAGTTGCAAAGCAGGACGAG